GTGGTTAAGTGAAGGATGGCAAGGTGGGGAGATTGTCCTGGATCATCCAACGTGTTAGTCAGCTGTTCATCCCTATAACGTACACCTGAGACAGTCAGTTTAGAACGAGGACGGGTTTATTTCTGCTGCCTGCTGCTTGTGTGGGTGCAGTGCATCAGGGTGGGGCCAATTTACATCATGGCAGCTGGAAAGGGAAGGAAAGGGAGGAGAGGCCTTTGGTCCTGTTGTCTCCTTTGAGGATGTACCCGCAGTGCCCTCGGACCATCTCCACCTCTAAGTTTCCACTATTTTTTTTGTACTGGGGTTGAACCCAGGGCTTTTGCACTTTTACGTACTTGGTGCTTTTTAATTTTTTTTTTTTTTTAAATTTTGAGACAGAGTCTTGCTTGGTTGTCCAGGCTGGGCTGGAATCTGTGGTCTTCCTGCCTCAACTTCCCAGAGTCTTGGGATTATAGGTGTGCCCCCTGACACCAGGCTGATTTCCACTGTCTCTCAACAGTGCCATGCTGGGCACGCTCAGCCTTTGACACAGGGCCTTGCGGCACACTTGGACCAAGACTGCGGCGTGCAGGTGGGCTCCATACAGTCACAGAAGGCAGGAGGTGGAAGGCCCGAGCTGCGGGACGCGGGCAGCCTCTGGAAGCTGGAAAAGCAAAGAACGGATTCTGCCCGTCAGCAGAACTCACCCCGCCCGGCCGCTCAGATGTTAGCCTAGCGGAGATTTCTGATCTCCAGAGCGGTAACATGGTACATGTGCATTGTATAAGCTACAAACAACAGTTTCTGGTAATTTGTTCCAGTAGCCATAGGAAGTCAGTACAACTTTATTCAAATGTAATTTCCATATCATAGAATCAACTCACTTAAAAATATGCAAGTTAGAGTTTTTATTATATTTACAAAGTTGTCCACCTAAACATTTTTGGAAGAGGAGTCAAAAGCGTTCTATGGAATGAAACCAAGTGATCTTTGGGTCAGGCAGTGCTCTGCTCGGGGTGCTGATGCAGGGAACCAGTGCGGTTTTCGTCCATGGAGTCTGCGGCCCTGTACCTAATGCCTGCTTGCAGGACCGCCGCCGACAGTCAGCTTTGCTGTTCGTTCTTTTTTATCTTAGCGGGGAGCTTTTTCTTGTAAACTTTTTGTTGTGTTTCCCTCAATAGTATTTCAAATGTGTATTTTTTGAATTGACCTCAAACTGCTTGACTTTAGCTGTCAAATGTATAAATGTTTAAATTTCTAATCTATTGCCAAGATGCCACAGAATCTCTACAGCTTGTATAAACTTCCTGATGAAAGGATAAGAAATGTGTTTTGTTTTGTACATTTTTCATGAACTGACTGACTGTATAACCCTCTGCTTCAAGAGATCATTCTGTATGAAAGAAAATGCCTCCATGTCGTGGGGTGGTCACGGTTACTAAGTGTCCCACTGTGAGTTGTTTTGTGTGTAATGACGTGTGGGGAGGGCTTCTGATCCTTTGATCATCCAAAATAAGCCATTTTCAGGCCCATTTTATTTTCTTTATTTTTTGTAGTGTTAGAGATTGAACACCGGGCCTCAGACATGCTAGGCAAGTGCTGTACCACTGAGCTATATTCCCCTTACCCCATTTTAACATTTTAAAGTGTGTGTGTGTACAGATATAAACCCGTCTGTATATCCTACAGGCATGCACACACACCTCAGCTGACATATTATAGATCTTCCGAATGACTTATATTAGAAAAATTTCATGCTTTCTCTCCTTCAGCAATTCAAGCCCAAGCCCCATTGTGACCTACACTGTCTTTTACCCTTTTTATTCCTTAGGCAGGAGACACTGCCTGCCCGGTTAGTGGGGGATGCATGATCTTCTCCACAAAGATTGTTTTTGCTTAAGATAACACAGAAACTCATTTATACTTTGGCGTATCCCCTTTTCAGTAATGACAGTGACCCCATTATACCTAAAAGCGAGCACAAATGCACAGCATTAAGGAAGAGAAGAAACTAAAACCAAAGCAAAGAGCACCCTTCGCTGTGCTGTGGTGCTGGCTCCAAGTGGCCTCACAGAGCGCCTTCACACAAGGTCCCTTGTAGTCATGACAGGCGGCAAGCATCATAAACCTGGCTAAGCGTGGGCAAGAGCAAGGTCACCGCGTGACTTACAATACCAAGCACCCTTTCTTGGTTCTGGCTTTGTCTTGGGCTAGTCTCCTTCCATCTGGAAAGATTTAGTGAGGTTCTCAGTCTTCCAGTTGCCTTTCTTTCTTTCTTTTTTTCTTTTTTTTTTTTTTGGTACCGGGAATTGAACTCACGACCTTGTGCTTGCCAGGCAGGCGCTGTGCCACTGAGCTAAATCCCCAGCCCCTGCCTTGCTTTCTGACAGCATCTCAGGCAGTAAGCCCCACTTCCTTCAGCCTCCTGCTAATGTTCCCACCAGAGCCAAGTTTGGCTGCAGGGATCTCTGGGACCCCCTTTCTGAGATGCCTTGCTGAGAGCCCTGCAAGTATCTCCCTGACTCTGCAGATCTGATGTCTTCCCCTGCTGTGTGCTCCTACTGGCTTTTGGCTGAAGGACATCCGCATCTTTAAGAAAAACCGTCACAGAAAGACAAGCATCGCATGACCTCAGTCCTATGTAGAATCTGAAACAGTTGATCTCATCGAACAGCAGTCACCAGAGGCTGGGAGGAGGAGGGACGAGGAGAGGCGGTCTGCAGGCTCTGAGCGTTGCTTAGGAGGGAACAGGAACATTTGGAGTGCACAGCAGTGTGAATACAGATAAAGTATAGTGCATTTTTTAAAAGCTAGAGGGATTTTGAATGTTTTCACCATAAAGAAATGATAATCATTAGAGGAGATAGATATGTTTATGCTGACTTGAACATTACATATTGTATCCATGTACCAAAACATCACATGATACCCTATAAATATGTATAACTTTTAACTATTAGTTTAAAAATATGATATGAAATGATGTAAAAACTACTTGGCTACTGGTTAAAAAATTCACTGAAAGGCTGGGCGTGGTGGCACATGCCTGTAATCCCAGCATTTGGGAGGCTGAGGCAGGAGGATCCTTGTGAGTTTGAGACCAGCCTGGGCTACAAAGTGAGCTCAGGGCCAGCCTGAACTGCATAGAGAGACCCTGAATATTTTGGAAGGCACAGCTGTTGTTCCTCAGACAACTGTGTGTGTTCGTGTACAGATTCTGCCTGGTTTATTTAGTGCTTCTTGAATTATAAGCAGAATTGGCCTCATAATTCGTGTCTCAGTGCAGATATGCAAATACGGGACTCCTTCCTCAGACTGTATTGAAAACTTTAAGATGGTGACAGCACAGTATGAAATCCAGGAGGGCCCTCTGAGCACGGGCCCTGGGCTGGCTGCACTGGTCACATACCAGGATATTGGCCCTGACTGGGAGACACTCTCTGTCAGCTCTTCTGCTCCAGGGGACTGACCCAGCGATGAGGACAAAGAACCAGTGCTTTCCAGTCTTCTTCTGGCCCACCCGACTGGCCTTGTTTTATCCTTTATTTTTTACAAATTTAATTTAAACAGTTTAAAATTGTGGTAAAGTGCATGTAACAAAATTTATGATCTTAACAATTTGTCAATGCACAGTTGAGTGGCATTAAGTACATTCACATTGCTGTGAAGACATCACCACCATCTGTCTTCAAACTGGACCTTTGTGCTGGATTAACTAATGGTCAGTTTGTGACACCCAGCGGAACCAAACCAGTGTGGTTCTGGGTGTGGAAGGCCAACCTGAGGACTGTCGTCAATAACATAAAAGGAGAGCTGGAGGGTGGTGTGCTGTTGATTCTCCTGGAGGAGCTTGTCCTGCTGGTTCTCCTGATATGAACTCAGCTGTTCTCACTGTTGGAGGAGTTCAGGTCCTCCCTATCACTGAGGATGGCTGAGGTTCTCTTGGGGAGAGCTCTGGTCCTTACCTTGAGCATTATTTCCTGGTTCCAGTGTGGATTCCTCAGCCTGCTGTCACAGATCTTTCATCCCGCTGGTGCAGACTTTTTAGCTTCAGCCACTGGCCTTTGCGCCTTCCCAGGGCAGATCCTTGTTACATACTCGTATGAGACATTGTCATGAGCTCTAGGTCTTCAACTGGACTCATGCAGGATACTGCTCTGGCATCCAGGGCCTCAGTTGGATTCCTTGGGTCTGTAGTGCACGGACAGATCTCCTGTACTCTTTTACATTTGACTCTTCAGGGGAATATCATAAAATAATCCTATAAATTATGTATCCTGTATTAAACCCTTTCCCTTGTAAACCCTAAGACATACTCTATACTCATGAAACACTAACTCTCATTCCCCCAAGCCCTCTGGCCTTGGAAACCATTATTCTGCTTTCTTTCTCTGTGAATTGGACTATTTGTCATGCTTTTCATGTAAGTAAAATCACAGAGAATCTGTCCTTTTGTGTCTGACTTACTTCATTCAGCATAACATCCTCAAGGTCCACGCACACTGTGGCATGTGCTGGAACTTCCTTCCTCTCCGAGGCTGAATAATGTCCCATTGTGAGGACATACAACACTCTGCTTGTTTTCTCTTGTTTCGACCATCCACGGACCTTACATTGCTCCTGCTCTTGGCTATGGTGAGTGGTGCTGCTGTGAACATGGGGGGACCAAGGTCTTTTTAAGACTTTGCTTTCGCATCTTTTTGGTCCATACCTGAAATAGGGTTTCTGGATCACACGGTAATTCTTTTTGACTCTTTGAGGGGTCTCCATGCTGCTGTCCACGAGGCTGTAGCACTTACAGCTGCACCAGCAGTGCGCAAGGGTCCCGGTTTCTCCACACCCTCACAACACTGGGTGTTTTCTGGTTTGGGGGCTTTAGCGGGGGTGTTGGATAGCACCCTAACGGGAGAGCTGGTGTCTCACTGATTTTGATTTGCATTCCCCTGATAAGAATTCACACTGAGCTTTTCTTCTAAATTGACTTGTGATTGCTTACAGCCACTACTCTTTCTCTTTCCAAGAAAGGAGATGAAGCTGCTGGAGCAGTCGGGTTCCCTGAAAGGCACCCTGAGTGTGGAACAGCAGCTGTCCCTCATCAGTGGCTGCGCCAACATTGCAGAAGCAGTAGAGGGCGCCATACACATTCAGGTGAGCGGGACATCGGCATCCAGGGTGTGGGGTGGAGACTGCTTCCTTCCCATCTGAAAGTTCAGGACATGGTGAGCCCTCCAAGTGGCAGGCAGCAGGGTCCTCAAAACATCCCCATAGAGGTTCTTAGAAAACTACTATGATAAGCTTATATCTTAGAGGTGTTATAATTTTGAGCAAAAATAGTGAGAAATGAAGGTTATAGTCTTTTTGTTGTTGTTGGTACCGGGAATCAAACTCACGACTTTGTGCTTGCCAGGCAGGTGCTGTGCCGCTGAGCTATATCCCTGGCCTGAAAGATTATGTTCTTGTTCTCATATACAATTTAATAAAAGCTTAACGAAATCTAAAAGAAAACCTTTCACTTGTGTTTAGCCTCTCCAACAACTTTGCTTAATAAAGAGGAATCCTCACAGGCACTGTTACCTGGGCTGCAGGGGAGCTGGGGCAGCTCTAGGGTTGGAGCTCCATGACCTTCCCAGGAATCCATCCTGCAGGTCCTGTGCCTGCAGGCTTTGCTGTCCTAGAACCCAAGGGATAACGTTCTCTTCTAAAAGGGCACCATTACTGTTGTAGTATTTAAGCAAATTTACCTAAAACTCAGATCATTATTCCCAGTACCCCTCCTGGATATTTTGTATGCTGTGAGTCATACATTTCATGTTGCTCCTAGGATGATATTCTAACTGAGAATTTGGGAGCAAACCAAAAAGGCAGTGTGTGTTTTATGGTCAGCTGCTGCTCTGTGATTAAGGTCAAAATAGAAGAGATGGAGGTTCTAGGTCTTTGTGGCTCTAAAGTTTCTCTAGTCCCTTTAAGACATGTGTATCGAGATAGATCATAAGGCGAGGACTGTTTTTAATTCCTGTTATCTTTCCAGTATACAACAGTACCTCCTTGTTATTGACCTACAGTTAATGCAGTCCAAAAGTATTAAAAGTTTTGACTCTTTCAAGAAGGAGACCACATTCATGTCACTTTTAGAGTAGAATGGTAAGAATCTCTTACCATTCCTAGTTTGTAAATTCAACTTTATCATGAAAAAATACAGTATGTGTAGGGTGAGTCCTCCCTCCGGGACCAGGCCTCTCCTGGGGGTTAGAACATGGCCACAGTGGGTGAAGGGCGAGTGTCCTCTATCTCTCCATGTGCTGAAGGCCCCTGCAGGGGATCGGAGGCTCCTGTAGTGTGAACTTCCCAAAGAAGCTTCTTCACATGAAGAAGCTTCTTCATGTGAATTTAGCTTTCAAGGCAGGTGTACGCTTCTCACGTTGGGCACCAGGGGAAGTGGCAAAGGCAGGTGGGCATCCTTTGCCTTAGAGCGTGTGGTTCAGACCCACACTTAGGTCAGGTGGCCTTGGGGCACTTTGTACTTAGCACCTGTTTGGCTTTGACAAGTTCCTTACCTTGTAGACTCCACTTATGAGGTGGTAGCTACAGTCCTGGGATGATGTGAGAGTTTCCGTGGGCTCATATCAAAGCTGACTCTGCTGAAAGACAGGCCTCCATTTTTCCAGTGAAGGTTAACTGGATGTAGTCACCCTTCAGTACCCAGAATACCAAATCAGATGCTCGGGACCCTTACATAAAGTGGCGTAATGTCTGCATAGCTCCTGTGTACATTCTCTTTGCATCCTCCCTAGATGAACTGTAATACCTAATAGAATGTAAACAGCTGTTATACTGTACTGTTTAGGGAATAATGACCAGAAAAATTGTCTGACATGTTCAGTGTAGGTTCAGCTTTTTTCCTGAATATTTTCCATCTGTGGCTGGTTGAATCTGTGGATATGGACCACGATATGGAGGGCTGACTGCTATAATAGTTAAATGGAGGAGTGTCGTACTGTACACACATAAGATCTAACTTGTTTGGTCATGAAGTGTGGTCTGGGATATGAGTACGTCATGTATTACTGGAATATTCACAAGATGCTTTGGTTCAGACTAGTCTGGCCTCTGTAACTCGTGAGAGTTGTTTCTTGAGTCTCTCTAGTTTCCCAGAGCCTGGTGTCTTTGCTTCCTCAGAGACATTCAGTAGATGGGGCTTGTGGAATCCGTCTGTGCTGCTGGCATTGGGAATTTTATCTACATTCTTAATTACTAACTCCCTGATGTGTAGGTATATTTTTCTTTCTGTAGGAGGATACTTATGGTTCCAAAACATGACAATTTGCTATGCTGCTTTTAAAAATTCATCTTTATAAAGCTTATTTACAAATTTCCCATCACTAGCAGGTGTGAAGTCATGCCCCAGGAATAATGAAAATATCTTTTTTTTTTTTTTTTTTTTTTGAGACAACATCTTGCTATGTTGTTTGGGCTGGTCTTGATCTCCTGGGCTCAAGTGATACTTCTGCCTCCAAATGCTGAGACCAGAGGCATACACCACTATATCCAGCTTATGTTAAATTTCTTTGCCCTTCCTATTTTTAAAAAATAGACTATCAAATGATTTCTGTAAACATATAAAATTAGCATGATTGAATTAGTTTAGGCTAATGTGACTTCAAATAGTATATTGTTTTTCAAAAAATGGAAAACCCTGCATAATATGAGAACATCAAAATGTCTTGAAATACAAGGTGAGTCCTTCTTTTAAGGGATAATTTTAGAGGCGAATATGCTACTTTATCAGGTTCTGAGAGTGCTTAACACAGTACTTGGCACATGGAAAATGCTGCATAAATGGCCATTGTTTTATGATATGGCCTTTTTTGTAGAGTTTTGGTAATGAACAAATGACATGGAGCAAAATAATGGTGTTTCATGCACAGTAGGTGCTGAAAACTGTGTTTCTCCAAGGCCTGGCTCTGTGTCATGGGTTAAGTGAATGTGCTTACGTGTTGAGCCTCATCTCATCTGTTACGCAAAATAGCACTGAGGCAGGAGTAGGAGAGGAAAGAAGAGGAGGAGGATGCAAACTAACTCGGGAAACTTGTTAAAAATCTGTTGGCCCTGTGTAAAGGCTTCTTTCTGGATTGATCTGGGTGTCTATGAGACTTTGTTTATAGTAAACTTTGAAGCCAGATAATGTGAGTTTTCCAAATTTGTTGTAACTATTCTAGTTCCTTTCCTTCACTTTTTTTTTGGAGACAGGGTCTTGCTATGTAGCTTTGAATTCACTATGTAGCCCAAGCTGGCCTTGAACTTGTGGTGATCCTCCTGCCTCAGCTTCCTGAGTGTTAGGATTACAGTCATGTGCCACTACACCTGGCTTGCTTTATATTTTAAAATCAGGATGTTAATTTCTAAAAAAAAGAGAAAGAAAATAATTCCTGCTGAGATTTTGATTGATGTTCTGGTGAATTTGTAGAGCAGTTTAAGAGATAATTGGCATCTTGACAAAATTGAATTTTCTAAAGAACATGTTATAGCTCTTCATTTATAGTATTTAGTCTTTAAGAATTTCTCCATTTTACAGTTAGTTATCATACAGATCCTGCACATATTTCATTAGATCTGTACATATGTATTTAATGATTTTAATGCCATTATAAATAGTACAGTAAAATTTTTCAATTTCCAGTTTACCATTAGTATATAGAAATACAATTAAGTTTTGTGTGTATTGACCTTGTATCCTATAACCTTGCTAAACTCATTCATTAGTTCTCATCAGTAGCTTTTTTTTGTAGAGTTTTTGGATTTTCTATATAAACTCATGCCTGTGAATGAGTTTTATTTCTTCTCTTACAAATGATATGACTTTTTCTTTTGGTAGTGGGAATCAAACTCAGGACCTTTCGCTTGCCAGGCTGGCGTTGTGCCACTGAGCTGTATCCCCAGCGCATGACTTTTATTTATTTATTTTTAGCTTATTGAACTGGCTGGGCTATCTAGTGCTGTTAAATGGGAGTATAAAATCAAATATCCAGCTTTACTCCTGATTACTACAGGGAAAGCATTCTTTCACTGCTAATTGTGATGTCAGAGTTCCTCTTTTTTTGATGCCTTTTATCAGGTTAAGGAAGTCTCCTTTAATTCCTAGTTTGTTAAGATTTGGTAGCATGAATGGATGTTGAACTTTGAATTTTGTCAAATATGTTTTCTTTCTCTACTAATATGATCTTGTGTAACCCTTTTTGTCTATTGTTATGGTGATTTTTTCTCCCAGGTGGTCAGGATTCAACTTAGGACCTTCCACATTTGACGAATGTTACTGGCTTATTTTAGACTCTTGAACAAACCTACACACCCACAATCAACCTCACTTGGTCATGATGGTTTCTCATTTTTTGTATTTTTTGGGTTCAGTTTGCTAATATTTGTTGAGAGATCTTATCTATCTATGTTTATGAGAAATAGTGGTCTGAAGTTTTATTTCCTTGTCATTTTTCAGCTGGTTTTCCTATCACACTAGTCTTATAAATGAGTTAGAAAATATTATCTCCTTTTCTGTCTCCTGGAAGAGCTTGTGTGGGATTGATTTTATTTCTTTTTAAATGTTTTGAAGCATTTACCAAGGAAACTATCTAGGCTTCAAGTTTTATGATTTGGAAGACTTTAATGAATTCAGTGTAGATACAGGACTATTTGGGTTATCTATTTCTATCTGAATAAACTTTGAAAGGTTTTATTTCTCAAGGAATTTTTGAATTTATAGGGATAACTTTATTGATAACATTTTAATGTCTAGAGTTTGTATTGGTATTTCTTCTTTATTCATGATACTAATTTTTGTTTTCTGTTTTTTTCCTGAAGTAGTTATATCAGTTTTACTAATACTTTGAAAAAAATAGGTTTTGGTCTCATTGATTTTTCTCTAATGTTATTTTTTATATTATATATATACTTATATGTATTTTTATATTTCACTGATTTCTGCTATCGGCTTTATTTTCTTCCTTCTGTTTCTTTTGGATTGTCTTCCTTTTCTCAGGTATAACCTTAGAAAATTTTACAGGCTTGAGGCCTATATTTTTTTAATATAAGCATTTAATATACATTTATACTTTAGAGCTATTTCCCACAAATTTTGATATATTATTTTTACTGTC